AAATTGCTTAATTATCTATATTTATTAATATAATTAGACACAATAAGATAACAATACTAAAAGTTTAAAATTTTGAAATGCTTAATTATCTATATTTATTTATCTATTAAAAAAAGTAAAAAAATCCAATCATATTATAGAAATGTTATATATATTTTTAGATTAAAATTTTTTAATTGGTTAAAATTAAGGCTACTTTTAGAAGAAAAAAAAAAATTTCAAAATGTTCCATAATTAATTTGGAAAAGAAAAATCAAGTTGTGTGAAACAACCACGCAATCCCAATTGCCCAAGACAATTGTTGTATGAATTTTTTATGGTGCCGATGACTACATAAGAAAAGTTGAGAAGAGTTTGCTTCCTTCTCTTCACCATTGCAAAAGTTTGAGTTTTCATCCATACTTGAAGTTTTAACTAATATTAAAAATAAAAAATCTATTTTCTGCCAAAGAAAATATAATATTTCTAAAATAAGAGAATTACCTTAGATATATAGTATGCTATATTCTTGCAATTTGAAAGAATATTAACAGACCAAGCAAGAACTATGTGTTTAGTCCCTTGAAATACAATGGTAGCTAGTATGAACTGTGTGTAGTCCTTTAACTTAAATTCCAAAAGATCAAGATTGCTAACAAATCATATTTCATTTATTAACTAAAAAAAATCATATCTCATGAAATTAATGTATATCAAATAACAAAAGAAGCCAAATAATGAACTGAACCGAATATAAAAATTCTATGTTAGCCATCGATTTTAATGACTCCCTATTATCGAAACAGTTGTAACTGATGAAATAAACCAGAAAAAACTAATGTAAGTACAACTCTTCAAAACTCCAACTTCTAAAAACAATTACAATATAGATATAGATATGACAGTTAACACAGGAGGAAAAATTAAAAAAAAAAAAAAGGTTCGTAGATTAGTTTTCTCAATCATAAGTTCTGTGCATCTATGAGATATTTGCTTAATAGTAAATAAATGAGATCCTTCATGAGCATAAGGAATGATGAAATCTCAGTGTATATAATTTCATCATCTTCTCTAGTTGTTCGATGTAGAATTTTTTTACATCAATGAAAAACATTACTCTGGTGAATGCAACTGAAATTTGCATTAGCTATAACCCTAAGCATATAAAAACCAAGAAGATGTTGGTTTTTATCATATAATAAAGTGCAAGGGAATAAGATAATTATAACAAATTATTATACCAACATGGATCTGTTTAAATAATTAAAGTAATAAAATTGTTTAGAAGAAATCTTTTAGTTTGATCTTTCGAAACTTTGTTCTACATGGCTATGTTGTCGCAAACCATAAGTCGTCCAATTGCACGACCTCTAATAGTATCCACACGAATAGACAATTTAAAAAACTTTAAAACTATTTTAGATAGTATGATAGTGCTAGCTATCTTACACTCTGTGCTTCTATATTAGTGACTATCAACCTTCAAACTATTTCTTAAACCTATTTATATGAAAGTCTTAGGTCATAATTATTATATTTATTTATTTAAATAGTTTAAATAAATAAATCATAATACTTATAGTTTTAGGATTTTCAATATAACTAATTATATTTATTTATTTACTATTTAAATAAAGGAATCATAATTAAATATTAGGTTCGTGTAATCTAAAATTTAATTCAACAAATAAATTTATACTTAAATTAATTAAGTCAATACTTAATAATAAGGTAAATTGTAATTAAATATAAATTACAATTTTGCTCATTTGTTATCAAGTTATACTTGATTTGATTTCTTGTTTTTACTATCTTATATCCATTTGTATGCGTGTGACTTATTTGGCGACAAATAAAATTAACTAATTAATCACTATTTGAATGTCAATAACATTGTCTAGTAATATACCATGACTAACCAAATATTTGGAAAGTCAATAATGGTTTGACTTAGCCTTTCAGTGCATAGTTCATTAATATCATTTCATCATTAATGTTCTAATTTAGTAATTATGCATGAAGAATGTCTGCTTCACTAAACCATTTTAGTTCTCTTAATTTTAGCTATTGATCATTTGAATAATATTTCAAATCTAATTTGCTAATTTCATTGTACCTTGCACAATAATTTCTTAATCAATACTAATAGATAACAATTAGAACGTGTTCCCTAATTTACCTAGGGTGATAAATCTTATTTTAATTACTCAAATATCTCCGTATGGTTCCTACTATGTCCAATTATTCATTGCAAGTGAATGAAGAGTCAAAACATAATTATCCTTATACAAGATAGCTTAGTAATTTTAAGCCAAAAGATCACTACACAACCATCATTTGGATATTCTATAGACACATAAAACTCTCCATATGGAACTCTCATGTAGGTCAATTCAGTGGACTTGTTTAAATAATAAGGATCTACATATTAGTTCTAGATATCATATGTATATAAACTTATGCGAATTGCTGCTTCCTTTCACAAAAGAAAGAACCTAATATGTACTAGTCTCAATAGTTCTAATCATCGTCCACTAATGAGGAATATTTAAAGGTATTATTTTAATGCAAAAAAAAAACTCATAATTATAACCACATTATAATTTACTTTGCAAAGCAATATAGTTTCATAGACTTTTATCTTTTGACCGAGTTTCAATTAGTATAATATAAAAAGATAATTAAATGTCTTTTTATTAATAATGAAATATTTATACACGAAATATTATGTCCAAAATAGAAGTAATCAATTGGATATAAAGTATATAACTAATAGATGAAGTATAAATTAATTACCTTTGGTTTTAATTAGAAGCTTAGAGAGGAAAGAAAAAAGCGGTGACCTATGATGAGGGGTCTCAGAGGCTTGCTTCTTTTTCTTCAGCATGGCCAAAGGAGCGATGTTAAGAGCACGACAAAGAGAGGTGACTGGCGCGTTGAGTTACACTTGATGTGTTTTTATGTACTTAAGATTATGATAGTTAATGAATGGATATAAATAGATAAATGAGAGTAGATAAGAGAAGTTTTGAAATTAAATTTTCAAAATTTTCAAGACCTAATTATCTATATCGAATTAAATAAAAGTAAAAAATTAACTTTTAAAAAATATGCATCCAATCAAATTGTAGAAAATTTCTTAAAAAAATTAATACAATGTTGAACATATAAAGAAACTTTGGAGCTTCTCTTTATTTCATCTTTCAATTTTATAATATATATATTTGACATATAAAGAAACTTTTGGAGCTTCCTCTTATTTTCATCTTTCAATTTTATAAATATATAATATATATATAATATATATATATATATACATAGTTTGAAACAATTATAAAGCTCGTAATATTATATATAGTTTGAACAATATAAAGCTCGTTAAAATTAAAAGAAAATTATTTTCACATTAAAATATATTAAATAATTTATTCGAATTGTTTTTATTCTTGAATTTAATATAAAAATTGCAAAAAATAAAATGTTATAAAAAAAAATAACTTAACAATATATAAATATCCGGGTGCGAAGCTCGGATTCACGATTAGTTACAATATTAAGAGAGAGAATGAAATTTGAAATTCAAACTAACTTTGATAGCTAAAATGTGATTAAGGGCAATACTATAAAAGAACCTTTTTTTAATCCTCTAGTACTCCCTCTATTTTCTTACTTCAGAGAAATTAGAAAAAGCTATGGGATTAAAAAAGTAGTTAAACAAAAAATTTTAAACCTTGATAATACCCCTAATTAGCCTTTTAAATACATAATTATTGGGAGAAAGCCAATTCACTAATAGAGTCTTCCAATGGTGCATTTATTAGTCAAAAACTTTAAAGATCGCAAGAGTTTTCTCAACTTCAAATTGGAACATTTGAATAGATTTACATCATTTTTAAAAATAGGGCACTAATAAGAAGGAAACTATCCTCAAAATCATTGGATATGAGAACATAAAATCAAAATTTGTGCACATATTAGTAAGAGTTAATACCCATGTAAAGACAATTTTTAAAAGTAGGGTGTAACAATATAAATCTATAACTATTTTATGTTGACCTCCCAAAAAAATACTCGTGTTTAGTCATATTTGTGCTTCATGCGTAAATTAGTTCATACTTATTGGAAACTGAATACAAACTTAGTCAACAAAGCATTACAATTAAGTTTGTTAGAAGAAATTTAAAAAATTGCCGACGTTAAAAATGTAATATGGACATAGAAACTTTTTTTATAAGTAACGTGCAATAATTAAAAAGTGTGGCCATATGAAACCTGACCAGTGTACGTACTTTTCTTCGTGCTCAGATCTATAAAATCGAACACATTTCTACTAAACTGCTCATAAGTTGTTACTCATGCATTAGAAACATAAAATCATTAATTGTCCAATTAACTTTTTGTCTGCCACTATACTCATTCATTGAACAAAAAAAAAAAAAAAAAAAACAAAAAAAAAAAAAAAAAAGAGGCAGTAATAGAGGGTAAATCAAAGGCATATTAAACTTTCCTCTTTATGTATCGTTCCCAAAATTTTTATTTAGAGTGAAATTCTTTTGTATAAAAAAAAAAAAAAAAAAAAAAAGAGGCAGTAATAGAGGGTAATCAAAGGCATATTAAACTTTCTCTTTTAGTATCGTTCCCAAAATTTTTATTTAGAGTGAAATTCTTTGTATAAAACAAACATTCAAATTAAAAATTTTCTCTAAAATAAAAGAATTGAAAAAGTATTATTTAACTATTTCTATTGCGCCACATAATCGTGACACAATTTATGCCCGCGCGTGTATATATATATATATATATATAAAACGGAGAAGGTTTATCCACTCTGGATGTATACGTGTATATGCACCAAATTAAACTTTTTAATTAAAATAATTGTATTTATGATCACTAACAAGAAAAAATAATAAAATAATAATAATAATAATAATATATTTTTTAAAAAACTCTTTGTGAATTTACTTGGCAAGTCACACAAAAAAGCAGAAAGAGCAATTGTCATGATACCACTGTGGAATCCACTGATTCTCCACGTAGGACCAAAACGCAACAGCAATTCTATATTATTTTCTCTAGATTCGTAAGAGAACCAATGTATAATGGATTCCCCTACAAACGTTATAAACACTACAATTCCCCAGTAGTACAGCTATACAGACATGTGGCGAAGGAGCTTCAGCACCGGAACCAATATCTCAACAACCGTGCGCGCACTTAAGGAAAAGAAATGGGACGTGCTAGTTATTGGCGGCGGCCATAACGGCTTGACAGCCGCCGCCTACCTTGCAAAGACTGGACTCTCCGTCGCCGTGCTGGAGCGTCGTCATGTCATCGGCGGTGCTGCCGTAACAGAAGAGCTAATTCCTGGATTTAAGTTCTCTCGCTGTAGCTACCTTCAAAGTCTCCTCCGTCCTTCCGTTATAAAGTAAATACCCTCATTTTTCCAATACCAGCTATAAAAATTGCATGATTTCTTATTCACTTCTTTTTTTTGTTTGAATTTTATGTAACTGTTTCGTGTTATTTTGATAAAGAGAGTTGGAGTTAGCAAGACACGGATTGAAGTTGTTGAAGAGAAATCCGTCGTCGTTTACGCCGTGTTTGGATGGACGGTATCTTTTATTAGGACCTAATAAGGATCTTAATCATTCTGAGATTTCCAAATTCTCAATTCGAGATGCTGATAATTATCCCAGGTCATATTTGCCTCTATTTACGCTTTTTTAGTTCTTGTTTAATGATTTAACATTTTTTTTGTTTCTGTTGGAGATAAAGTTTCGTGACTGCAGGTGTTCTTACGAGAATTTGAATTATTGATTATAGTTATTGTTGTTGTTTCAATTGCATTAGTATATTAAAATGTGGTAGTTGTGGTTATATTTTTATAACTGTAGTTATTATTTGAAGTATTACTGGGATGATTTTGAGGTTAGCTTACAAAGGGGACTGTGAAAAGATCAGTGGAAGCGGGTGAAGTTTAAGTAAATCATTTTGAAGATAATGATGAGTTTAAGTGAACTTGATATCTTAGTCATATTAGAATCATTCTAGCAGTTTGACATGAATGTGTTTTGATATCTAGTTTAGACGATTTTTGATTCTTCATAATTAAATGTCTGTTCGTTTATTGCTTGAATTATTATTATATTCGTTTCTGGTTTTCTAAATTGAGTAAATTTTTATCTGCAGATATGAGAATCAGCTTGAGAATTTCTGTAAATTTATGGATCCGCTTTTGGATTCACCTCCTCCAGAATCATTGCAAAATGTTGCATCTTTTAATGATAGGTTGAAGGACAAAATACAGAAATCAGCCTTTTGGGCTCGTTGTTTGAGGCAGGCTTTCACTTTAGGTCAGAAAGATATGGTGTAAGAGCTCTTTTTACTAGTCTCAAGTGTGGAATTTATGTTGTTACAACTAAGGGCATGGCTTTATTGTTTAGTTAGTTCTTGCAAATTTCTTAGCATTCTGTCATAATATATGTTTGTTGGTTTTAACAGGGACTTCATGGACATTTTGTTGTCTCCAGCTTCAAAGGTTTTGAATAACTGGTTTGAGGTCATCATTTTACTTGTTCTCAAAGAATTTTGTAGTTTCATGGATTCAAACTTTGAGAAGATTTTATGTTGATTACTTTCTTTTTCAACACATAACTTGCTCATCTTGAGTCCCCTACATCACTGGAACTTGTGCACTTTAAATAATGTGAAACATTATCTTAAAAGTTTACTTTAGTAGTTTACTACAGTTTTTATTGAACTTGTTATAATTTTTTTATCCTAATCAAAGCTAGTTCCTAGCCATTTTCAATCTGTCTATTTCAGAAGGGAGGGAAAAAAAATAATTTCTTGTTCAGTCAGTTTTGCATTTCAATTTCACGATCTGATGCTGCAGGAAGTTTAATCAGTACCTTTTGTTTAAGTTTTTGATTGTCTATTTTATGTTGGTCTTGTGGAGATGCTGGCAGTTAAAATCATGTAAAGTTTTACTAACATGGGCTTATTACTAATCCACTGTTGCTGACAGTCAGATGTTCTGAAGGCAACCCTTGCAACAGATGCTGTAATAGGTTCCACGGTATGACTCCATGACTGCACCTAGATATAATAATTTTTTTTTTTTGTCAATTCTTTTTAAGTAAACCTTCATAGAGCAGGCTAACCAATGGATATTATTTCTCTTATTGATGATGATCTGAAGAGATGGTTTCATAATGAGGTTTTGAGTCCAATTAAAATGATTGATAGACCATTTGGACTCTTCAAAAATATATTGCAGGGTAGTGTCACTACACCAGGAAGTGGATATGTTCTGCTGCATCATGTTATGGGAGAAACTGATGGGGATCGTGGAATTTGGTCGTATGTATTTCTATTGCTGGCTTGATGTATGAATTGTGCATCACAGTAGTAGCAGTCTGTAAATTTCAAAGATCCCTTCTTTCTTTCTATTGCTTAAGTATATCATGTATCAGCAGTCACCTATTTTGCATGTCTGGAACCTTTGGGGGAAACTAGAGCTGTGAGATTTGATGATTCTAGTAACTGAACTGGGCTGGAAAAGCAATTGAAGACAAATTGCACTTTTAGCGTTTAATCACAATATAGTCTCTTCAAAATGAGAAATGATTCTGCATTCTCTATTTTTTGACTTGTAAACTTTGTCCATGTATATGGTGTTATGAGGTTGAAGGTGCCCCCAATACCAACAGCTGCCACAGATCATATGTGACTTTTAGACGATTCTGGCTTAAAATTGATTGATATTTGTGCCACAACTAAATTTCCAAATGATTATTGTAATTTGTAAATTTTGTTGTTTCCAGCCATAGTTATTTCTCTTAAATATTGTCGTTTCACTTTCATTTTACATCATAAACTATTTATTTGATAGCCATGATGTTTCAGTATTTATGCTAATTGTAGGTATGTCGAAGGTGGGATGGGCTCCGTATCCCTTGCAATTGGTAATGCTGCTCGGGAAGCTGGGGCTTATATCGTGACTAGTGCTGAGGTAAGTTTGCATGGTTACTCCATCTTTCATGAGATATATTGCTCCTTTTAAAACTCTAAAACATTTTATATCTGGAAAAAAAAAGTGTATGTCATCTTTTGCTGATTCAAAGCCTCTGCTTGTTCACTTCTGAATTGCGGACCTCCTAATCTAAAATCTTTTTGAAGTTCTTCCATTACGTACTCAGCTGTAGTTAATTGGTGACAATGTGAACTCTTTCACATCAAATTAACTCTTCCCTTTTTTTGCTACTTATAATTAAAAGCTGAATTTTACTTTTTTGCCTTTGGTGGAATGCCATAGTATGAGTGAGGAACTTGCATGCATTACTATCTAAGATGCTTTTGTATTCTAAGTCATGTTTTATAAGCTAAACAATAGTCCCAATTTTTCTGTCATGTTTCATTGATATGTCTAATCATTTTGATGTCTTCCAGTGTTCTCTTACCCACCTGTAATTTTTCTTTTCCGGTTCATTTAGGTTTCAGAACTGATGATTAATGACTCTGGCTCAGTAAATGGGGTTAGTTTATTCAGTTCCCTCAATAAATTTGCTCTATCAGCTCATATCAAATTAACATGTAAAATCATGGGTTTAGGTGTTACTGGCTGATGGCACACCGGTGCTTTCTTCAGTTGTGCTGTCAAATGCCACTCCTTATAAAACATTCATGGTAAGATTTCAATTTCTGTCACTCCATTGATAATTTCCCCTGAGAAGTATAGATGCGTAGTGTTTTGAAAAGTAATATCCCACTTGGATCTTAATTCTGATAATGGTTATGCTCTTCTGATACAGGAATTAGTTCCCAGCAATGTTCTTCCTGTAGATTTTATCCGTGCTCTAAAATACTCTGATTATAATTCTGTAAGCATCAATACCTTGGAGTTGAAATTTTTTGCCAATCTAAACAGTTCAAAAATTATCAGGTTTTTCTTATTTGTATGGGGTGTCGCTCACTGAAACAGGCCACCACAAAGATAAACATAGCTGTTGATAAACTGCCCCAATTTCAATGTTGCAAGCTGAGTCATCAAGATGCAGGTCCTCAGCATATGGGTACCGTTCATATTGCTTCAGAGAGGTATCTTTTTTTGTTCAATATTAGTTATCCTTTTGCTTCTGAATATGCTACCTTAATTTGTAAATGTCCTAAAATGGTTCCTTGAAGTGTGGGAAACCAACACTCCTTAACCTCTAAGCTTTATAATTGGGAGCTAAGCTTGAATAGAGAAATTATCACATTAAAAATTTGTTGGTCAGTTGTTTCCAATACAGTGGAATATTCTCAGAATTAGGCTCAAATATACTGTACAATGTTGGTAGTTTGTGGTCACATACTGCTAGGGGTGGCCACGGTTCCGGAACCGGCGGTTCCGGTTCCAGTTTTCGGTTCCCATTCCAAAAAAACCGGAACCAGAACCAAACCGAAAATTTCCGGTTCCGGTTCCGGTGTGGTGACAAAACCGACGGTTCCGATCGGTTTTCTGGCAAATCGCATAATTTTAAATTTTAAATTTTGAAGACCGGTTTTCAATATTTAATAAATTTGTGAAAGTTATTTGTAAAAAAAATACACCTAAAAAATTAAAAAATACTTCAATTAAATTTATTTTTTTTAAGACTTGAATTTAATTATTTTTTTAAAAAAAATTCTAATAAAAATTTGTGAAAGTTATTAGTTATTTGTAAAAAAAATACATCTAAAAAATTAAAAAATGCTTCAATTAAATTTATTTTTTTAAAGACTTGAACTTAATTATTTTTTTTTAAAAAAGTTATTCAACTGAATTTATTTTTTGTTTAAAAAAGTTTTAACATAATTAAAAAAAAAAGGGCTTGAACTTAATTTTTTTTTGAAAAAAAAAAAAAAGTTGCCTATGTATCCTTTTGGGGTTTAAAGGAATCAAAACCCACATAATTCTTACTTACCTTATATCAATTTTTCCTTGTAATGGCGAATCCGCACCCTATCACCACCGAAAGCATATGCCAGCCACCTGGTGATGAGCATCATTTTCAACCCAGTAAGGCCTTTCCCGTCCTATAAATAGGAGTTCCATTCTTCATTCTCTCCTCATTCTACTGCATTCGAAACAAATTGTTTTAACAACCCTTTTCTTCCATGGCTTTCAGAAATCAAGTCTCATCTTTTGTTCAATCACTTCCAATAACCTGTGGGGGATCCATCCCATGAATCAACTAGCCCGGTTGAAATACTTCAATGACTTGAAGCCTGACCATACTGGTATACTCCGCCAATCTAAACTTGCAAAATTAGTATCTGCATAATCATCACCAAACTCAAAAGAAGTGGTTAGATAATTATCAAATTCAGAAAAAGAACTCGATTTCCTTGGTCTTTTTTATCTTTGTAGTAAAACCTGTTGAGCAACACCAACACCACTTATCCTTTGTCTTACCCTTTGTGTTGGAAATTGTTGAATATTAGATTGAGAAGAATTAGAAGTAGATGAACTAGAAAATTGAACAAATTCATTATATAATTGCATAATGTTTTGTTTAACTTTATGCAATACTAAATTTATATTAACATTATCTTCTATATCAAGATTTAATACTTCATAACAAATAGTCAAATATTCACATAAAACATCAATTTTACATCTAGTATCAAATACAATTGCAACAAGATAAAATGGTGGTATATTTTTAAAATAAGATAACCATTTTTTTATTGAAAAAATATAATCTTTAAATCTTGTAATATAAAATCATTTTCAAATTCTTGGAGTGCACTAACAATATTAATACATATAGGCAAAAATAAATGAGATGTGAGATAATAAACCCCACCAAATTTATAAGTAGCATCATTAAAAATTTTTAAAATATCTAAAATTTTTGCCACAAATATCCTAATTTTGTGGATATAAATTAATTTCTTCAATTTTATTAGCAACAAAAATGCATAATAATTCTTTATATGAAAAAGACTCGTTTAATAATTCATATGTTGAATTCCAACGAGTTGGGAAATCCCTTGGAAAACGTTTTTGGTCTTTTATTATTTTCCTTATAAAATTTAGCCCAACTTTTCATAGCCCAACTTTTCATACACTTGGGGATGTCCCATAAATATGAAATAGCTTTTTGATTGGAAAATAAAAGATTCAAGAATTTTTAAACCATTTTGTACACACAAATTTAAAACATGCAGCCACATTTTATATGAAAAAATTTTCCACCAATAATTTAGTTCACAAATATTTCTTAAGCTCCAATAATTGATTAGTATTAGCAGAGTATTATCAAATGAAATTGAAAAAAATTTTTTTTTTGTCAACTTAATATTCGATCAAAAATTGAAACAATAATTCTATAACATATTATTTGCAGTATGTTTTATCATCAAACATGAAATGCAATAATTCTTTTTTGAAATTTTTTTCCATCATCACAATCCATGGACATGTAATGCCCATAATAAGAATGCATTTTTGCACAAATGATACTCCAAATACTCACAACAAATTGAACACGAATTTTTCATTTGAGAAAATAAAAGCCTCTAACTCTTTTTTTCCTTTATTATATAAAGAAATAATAGTTCGTTTTAACAGTATTTCTTGGCACTCTGTTTAGCAAGAAGATTTTAAAGCTTTTTGACAATAATTATTAAAACCTAATTTTCAACCAAAACTAAAAGCTAATGTTCCATAGAAAATCATTTTTGCCTAATTCCTTCTTTTTGTATTTTTTTCAGAATATTGAATATAAAGAAAGGTTGAAGATTGCGTACTCGAAATTTGTGTTTGAGAACCGATCAAACTCCTATTTTTTGTTGGATGTTGTCTCTAAATGCTTCCAAAATGATCATAGCCGCTGCTTGTTTAAATTTATAAGATTTTTCCACAATAATGCAAATTACATCGTAACATTTTCTTTCACTTTTGAATTTTTTCGCGAAATGAATGGCGAATATGTTGGAACTTTGTCTTGCTCTTCCAAATTTGTGCTCGTTTGCTCTTTGCTCTTGCTCTTCCTCTTATATTGCTCATTTATTAAAATTCAAGAATTTCCCCCCCTTGAGTTGGAATTTCCAAATTTTTATTTGGATATCCCTAAAAATTAAAATTGGTTGGAGTGAAATCAAAGGTGGTCCGTTTGTAGGGATAGATGAATATTGTATTTCTCCAATCTTTCCCTTACCTTACCGAATTTGAGTTTCCTCCACTTGCCATTATATGATAAGATATAATTTGGAAAATTGAATAAAAAAAATTAGAGAGAATAATAACTTAATAAGAGAGATTGTAGAGTAGAGAAGAATAATATAGAGTAGAGTAGAATAATATAGAGTAGAGTGTAGTAGAGTGTAGTATATTGTAGAGACAGTAGAGATAGTAGAGATTTTTTTGTGATGAATTTGTAAATAAAATGAGGTATTTATAATAAATCCAAAAAATTATTGTTCCAAAAATACCCTTGAAACTAGCTATTATGTAGCCGTTTATGGTTGTTGGGAGGGGTAATAAAGAGATTTCACAACAAAATTAAAAAAAAAAAAAAAAAACCAAAAAACTGACAGTTTCTAACGGCTAGAACCGGCGGTTCTAGCCGGCCGGAGAACTGGCGGTTCCATCCGGTCTGCGGTTCATCCGGTTCCGACCTGGATTTGTTGGTTGCGGTTCAACAAACTGGAACCGGAATTAGTTTCTAACGGCTAGAACCGGCGGTTCTAGCCGGCCGGAGAACTGGCGGTTCCATCCGGTTCCGACCGGTTTGTTGGTTGCGGTTCCAACAAAACTGGAACCGGAATTGAACCAGAAATCTCCGGTTCCAGTTCCGGTTCGGCCCGGTTCCGGTTCCGGTTACAGTTTGGGACCGGTTCGAACCGACGGTTCCGGTTCCCAAAACCGTAATATGGCCACCCTTAGATACTGCTAACAGAACCTTTAACGGTTTCAGTACCTCATGTAAAATTTACACAACTTTTGTGCTGCCTCACATCCATTCCATCTCTGCTTTAACAAGTATGGAGGAGATTCACTTGGCATGTCAAGATGCTGTTAATGGGTTGCCATCAAGAAGACCTGTTATTGAAATGACAATTCCTTCTGCATTGGACAAGACTATTTCTCCACTTGGTAAATAATGTTTTGATTTCTGTAACAATTTAGTTGTGTAACCCTGTTAGACTATTGATGCACTCACTACTAGTGTTTGTGAAATCATAGAGATATCTTAAAAATTAACCTCGTATTTTGTAATCTACAGTCTACAGGCAGTCCGAGACTGGAAGCATAGTCAATCAAAGCTGAGATAAAAGAGTTGTTTAAAATTTTCTTTCCTCATTGTGAAAGACATTCCAATATTACTTTTATTCAGTTTTATATATTAAACAAGAGACACTGTATACTCATTTGGGTTGTCAGTTTTTCATATCTAGTTTGATATATTGCCAAGCTGGATATATTGAATGTTCGAATTCTGTTCTCACTTCAATAGTTACATATTCTATGATATGTGAGAAAATGTCTGCCTTGAATTTATGGTTAATGGACAAGTGAGAACTGAGAACCTCCATATGATGTTATGAGCTAATGTTTAATAGCAGTAAAGCTAAACCTGCTTTTTGTTAGCAAATTAGGAAATTTTCTTGCCTACACCGAACCAATGGATGTACAGTACTTCAAAAAATTGTCTAGTTATAGTATTCTTTTTGGACATTTTTTTCCCACTGGAGAGACACCCTTTCCCTTGTTTTGCTAGGTTTGTTATTATGACAATGGCGGCTGAGTGGAGACACCAGTGTAGGCAAAATTTACTGAACTAATCAAGCAGTTCAGCAGCTGCTAAGTAAGAAACTTCATTGTTTTTCTCGCTCAGCGAATATTTTGTGCTCAAGTTGGTTACTGGATGCTACTTAGATTAATATCCATTATGAGTTGGCTACTGAGCTGAGGTCATAGAATTTTACTATAGTGGGGGAACCGAGCCATAAATACAAAAATGCTAAGTGTAACCACAAGAAATAATGCTGATTCAGTGAATAAAAAGCTCATGAGTCCCTTTGCTGTTATTATGTCTTCACCTCTATGCTGCTCTCATTTTCTTCACTTTCCTTATTCTCTTATGTTCCCTTGAATTTTTTTTTCTCAATTATTGAATGCATGTGGGGGTAATTAACAACTGATTTTGGTCTAAGACCTTAATTTTTTGTGATAGATCCCCCTATCATGTGACGTGACTGCTGAAAACATATTCTTTTACATATGCAACTGTCTTTTTTTCTTCCGTAGATATTTATAGACTGCTCCTCTAAATCAGGTTCTTATGAACTTGAGCTTAAGTGTCCTTAAAAAGAAATAGAAAATGGAAACAACAAACTGCACAATTGGGACACTGCTTTCAAGCCAATGGATTTCGTTGTCATGTGGATGCGTTCCAAATTTATAATCAGTGCATATTCCACTTTTTTATATTTTTGTTTATGATTTCAGACATCTTTCATGGTGGTGTGTGCTCCCATAATGTTTTTCCTCCATTATTATATACTTATTCAAATTTGTTTTTGTTTTCATCTCATTTTCTCAGTGGCCAATCACTTTATTCAGCATGACTGGTGACGGCCTGACTGCTGTATGTGCAAGATTTAATTTCATATAACATTTTGATTCTCATTCTCTCTTTGTAGGCAAGCATGTGATAAACCTGTTTGTTCAGTACACACCCTACAGTCCTTCAGATGGAAGCTGGGGAGATCCTGCTTACAGAGTGAGTTCTTGACTGTCGGTTCTACCTCTCTCTTCCTTTTGTGTCAAGAAGTCGGTGTCTGCACCCCTCCCAGGACCCCAGTCAACACACCCCTTTTCCTTCCTTTCTCCATGTCATTGTTGAATCTCAGCAACTTACTTTACAGTACTTAACTAAGTTTCGTATGTACTAATGATCTTTTAGTGTGTGGCGAGCCTAGCTTTTCTTGGCCAAAACATGGTAGTTTCATGAAATTGACCATACTAATGATAATCTTGATTCTATTGTTAAGAACTTTACCAAATGATCTGTTTTGCAGGAATCATTTGCACAGAGATGTTTTAACTTGATTGATGAATATGCCCCTGGCTTCAGCACATCAATCATTGGTTATGATATGTTGACCCCACCAGATCTTGAAAGGGAAATCGGTCTGACAGGTACTTTATAGCCATAAATATCAGTGAGGCATTTGGATATTTAAGGTGAGCCAAGTTCCTAACTCGTGAATGATCTTCTGAAGGGGGTAATATATTTCACGGTGCTATGGGATTGGATTCGCTCTTCCTCATGCGGCCCGTTAAAGGATGGTAATGATGACAAATGCAATTTTAAGAGTTGGAACTACTTCCGAATTGACTGCTGACTTTATCGTGCTCGGTTTGCATTGAACAATTTAATTGAATTATTTGTTTTCCTTTCTTGGGAATACAGGTCTAACTATAGGACTCCTCTAAGAGGGCTATACCTGTGTGGAAGTGGAAGCCATCCAGGAGGTGGCGTGATGGGTGCGCCTGGACGTAATGCTGCACATGTAGTTGTGCAGGATTTCAAAAACCTGCATTAATTATTTCAAAGTGCACAAAACTCAAAATTTTCCCTGTAACATGTTATGATGGATGAGATCATGTTGCTTAGATCTTATCATTGTGCTCTATGCTTACAATAATGCAATCAAGAATTGTGTTTATCCATTCTGCTTTTGTGTATCCTTGAGATATTAGCTTGGCCAATGATTCAGATGGACAAATTAGAATGGTTAATAATAGACATATAGAACCGTGCCAAATTTACGAAATGTCTGCAAATGATTGCCTATATTCCTGTTCCTGGTACTGACTAATCTATTTCAAAAATCAAAATAATTTACCTTAATTATTATTATTTCTTCAAACTATGGAAATCTTAATGAAACTGATGTCAATTTTCCATTAAAGTGGCCCTGTATCTAGTCTGACAATGGTTTCACTTTTCAGCCAAGACACTGTAATTATAGCTATGACCGTTGTTGGGCAGTTTTTAAACTGTCCTGTAATCTATTAGTAAATTGAGTTTGAATACCATTATGAATTTCAACGGTCAAAGATGCTGCACTTGCGATATGAATAAAATTGATCAATAAGCATTTAACAGATGTTACAATTGGTCACACTAACCATAAATGTTACCAAAAGATCTAATTGTTTTTAACCAGAAAAGGGAAAATGCTTCAATACATTTAACCATCTAGCTTAATCAAGTGAATAAAAAAAACTGCATGCAAAAGAAATTGATTTTCAATTTTATACTCAACTTGCAATCTCGCAGCCCACTATGAACCTTTTCCTCAATCAACCATTTCAAATATTCACCCATGCAAAGAAATAAATGCCTACTGTAGCAGCTTGCTTATCATACATGTGGGACTTATCGGAAACAGCTTCAGGTCTGAGTGCTACAGCTTTTGATGAGTAACTGTATGATAATTTTAACATCTCTCTATATCAACATGCTACCTGCCCCGCCAACTGGAAACAGTTTTGGTGAATGGGATGGAGTTTGAGGATGCTTCTAACCTGTAGCACAAGTAGAAGTCAGATACACAGAAATATTTGTATGTGTGAATGACGGAGGAGTTACCTTGATATTTCTTCCACAGCCTTCATAACTTCTGAAGCACTTGTTTCAAGCACCTGACCTCCAAAAATTATCTCATCTAAAATTGTATGCAGCTGCAAAAGAATTAGGTTTCTTTTAGTTTAATGTTGATATTCCCTGCTTACTGTTAGCAGATATAAGCTCAAAATTTCACGTCCAATAACCAAACAAACTCTACAAAAAAAGTCAGACAATTTGACTGATTCAGCATTAAAGGTATTCACAAGTAATGTTTCCTTGGTCCAAAAATATCTCTTTTCAAATTTAGAAATTACCTGCATTTCCAGCAACTGTGAACACATATTACAAGGAAAAAGCTGATTGTATTTACCTTGCTGTAATTGAACACAATGTCTAGCTCACATACATTTCTGAAGCATTTGTCCAATGTCTCTACAAAAACTGAAGGTTTAGGAATTTACTTCAGCACAAGCTCAAAAAAAAAAAAAAAAAAAATCACATACATTTCTGAAGCAACTTTGTCCAATGTCTCTACAAAAACTGAAGGTTTGAAATTTTACTTCAGCACAAGCTCCAAAAAAAAAAAAAAAAAAAAGGAGGCCAAAAGAGAGTTTTCAATCAATAAGATAATCGAAAAATCACTATCCATAGCTAGAAACAGATATGGAAAGAGTAAACCATTATGATATAACCAAAAAAAAAAAAAAAAAAAAAAAAAAAAAAAAAGAAAGAAAGAAAACTTTAGGACATTCAAAAAAAAAAAAAAAAAAAAAAAAAAAAAAAAAGAAAAAGAAGAAAACTTTAGGACATTCTATTTCAATAAAATACCAAATAAATGGTTAACCTCGTCTTATATTCTCACAACCCATTCCCCTCTAGTATTACAAGACCTTGATAGTTACACCGCCATAATCTCACAGGATAAACAGTCAAACAAAAATGCCACAAATTGCCAACAAAATTGACAGAGGAGATGCTAATGTGACCAAGTAAACTGTTGGAGCTAAAGATTTGAAGCTCAAAGCAATCTGGACTATAATAAGAAAGTTACACTCAGGAGTATGAGGTGCAAAAGAATTCAATTAATCAACAGAAACCAATATTTGCAATTTTGCTCCAGAATACCAATCCAAATAATGTAAGTGCAAAAGGATCTAACTAATCAACAAAAACCAAATACCAAAGTATGCTAGAATACTAATACATCTTCCTTTTGTATGCACATCAAATTCTAGGACTGAATTAGAAATTAAACTCTCCATACCTCAAGAAAATATCCTATTAACTTCTTTACACATCTTTAATTTAGTAACATATTTACAATCAATTATTCATTTTGACCCACTTCACAAAAAATGCCAGACATAATCTCAATTTATTCCAACTACTAACATACCTTGTATAAGATCGAGCACAGCAAGCTCATTTTCACAAGCATCAAATACAAATACAAAGTATAGGGTTGCATAGTGTTTGTAAACAAGACGACTGTCCTGCAATAGAAAAAAAATATTTTTCTTTATTAAAGGGAAAAACATAGAATCTATCATTTCAACCTAAAAGCTCCTAATAATATCCAAATAACAGGGGAATAGAGGCAGGATTGTATAATACCGGGCCAAAAATAGAATCAGCTTCCATAAAATTGCTAACATTCTCAGCTCTACTGCACAAAACTTCAAAAAAATTTGAAAACCCAAACTTAGAAAAGGTAAAATTATTTACAGCAAACAAGATTGGCAAGTGTTTTCTAATGCATAAAGGTTAGAGATTGATCATCACCTCCAAATACACTGCGTATAAGCTCCTGCTGCTTCTCCACAGTCTAGAATCGCAAAATCGGTTAAAAAAAGGGAAGCAATAAAGAAAGTTTTCAAGACGAAATTGCAAATAATTATTGATACAAATTCTTCTTAGGAGAGAAAATTTAAGTTTACCAAAAAATCATAAAATTTGGCTAGGCGAGGTTTGCCTTGGGTATTCATTATCATCACCGCTTTGATCATCTTTGCTCCTCCTCTTCGCCGGCTCGGTATCTCTCTCGTCTTCGATCTGATTCCAATTGCGTCAGGCGAGAAGGTACAGTGAACGTTACAGCTTTGTTTATAAATAAACTATATGACCGGGCGTTTGTCAGATTCTCAATTCTGCAATTGAGTTGCGCCTCGAGTAACTATCGAGGTGCGTCTCTAGCTGCTTCGGGTCGCGACCACCAAGCTTTATCGAGCCAAGCTTATGGATCAGCATTTTCAAACCGAGTCGAGTTTACGAGCTAAATTAATAAGGTATATTAAAATGATTTTTTTTAATTTAATAAATTTTAAGTTCAAGTTTGATTTTATATACTGTCCCGTTCCGGTTTATCTATTTTTTTTAAACTAGCTAAACTCGATTTCGAATTTCTAAACTTAAATAAATTCGGACATATTTTTATTGAGCTGAGCTCAAACTCATTACAGCTCGGCTCAATTCATTTATATCCCTAATTCAACATATTTTATTTATTTCAAAACATTTATTTTAAAATTTTTTAATCAATATTAATTATGCTATTAAGATTATAATCTAGGAATTGCAAGCCTATCAAATTGGTGAATCGGATCAAATTATTATGCAATCTTTTGATTAATTTAATTTGTTTATTTAAATCCATTAGTTATTTGATTTAATTTAGAAAAAAAAGATTAAATTTGTCCATTGAATTTGGCGCAGATGTATAAAAATCTTTATTTTATTTTTTTAAGCAAAAAAACTCAAGTAAGAATTGTAATTAGGTCAAAATACCCTTTTTCTTACTAGATCATACGCATGGTTATGTAGCTAAGTGAATTGCTCTTTAAAACATAAATTTTGGTAACTAAGGAAAACGTTTTATATTCAGCAGTTGTGAATAGGGTTTTGTGGTTGACAAAAGTGAAGGAAGTTGACAAACAAACCTGCATAAACCTTGAGGGAAACTAGATTTCCAATACAACTTTAAATCAATTTGGGGCAATTAGATTTTTGTTTCAGTGAAAACAAAGAATGTTTCAAGACTGATTTCTAATGCAATCGTCAAGTAATCTCAGTAATGTTCTCCTGTCTCCTGCCTTGTTTTTATGCCACGGACCAATGTTCATTATAGAAAAATTTAACCTTCTCATTGCATGAGCTATATAAAAATGAAGGTTGACATTAAATAGGTGTTGAAAACCATTAGTTAATAATTTTAATTTGTATTAGATAATAGTTTTATAGTTCTCTTATTTTATTTATAATTCTGATCACAATTTTATTATATTGGACAGAATAGTATTTATAACTATCAGGGTTCACCGTAGCGGTAATATTTAATAATAGAAATTAAAATTTAAAATATACAAGTGATTGATTGAAAATTATCATATAAATGATATTGATCTCATTCTAACTAAAGACTCCAGTGGTTTCAGAGGATCCAACTACAAGAAAACTAGGAACAATGAGCTCTTTCCTCGGAGTCATCTTCATAAAATGGTTAATCAATGGGGATTCGGTGGAAACTTGCGTCTTTATTGGTTGCCAAAGGAGGAGTTATTGCGTGGTAGTTTGGTGCTTTTTTACAATGAAGATAGTGTCCATCAGATTTTACAGGTAGGCTATATAGAGAATGATGTTGTACACATATATGTTGAGCACTATGTTGACACACCACAAGTGCTTAATGATTATCCTATGTTACCTTCAACAGTAGAGACTAATGCAAACGAACATGTTACTAGCTCTCCATCAATTCAGGAGGTGGATACTAATGATATTGATTTCGATGAGGGTTTTAATGGATTTAATAAAGTAAGCTTGGGATAAATGGAACTAGTTCAGATCAGAATGATAATAGTGAGAGGTGTTATTGATAATAACATATTTCCAGACACAGAAAATGAGCAAGGTTGGCAGAGGGAATAGAGGTCCAATAAATATTGGCATTGAAGGTGAAAATAGAGGTCAGCATAAAGAGATTAACATCCCGTAATCTTACTTTCAAAACTTTTGATAATTTTAGTTAAATCAAAAATCTAGAATTTCGATTGTATGGATTGTAAATATTAAATAATTTTAATTTGAGTTCAAATTTACAAGTTGGCTTGGGCCCAAAGCATATTATTGGAACTCCTAATCGAGAATCTTTTAAACTTAAGGATTAATATTGGACATTAAATATTAAATCAATTATTAAAAAATATATATATATCTACTATTTAATTAATTATCCTAAACTCAAATATTAATAATAATATTATTATTAAGTAAATTGAAGAAGTATTCTAGAACCAAACTAAACCAATAAAATAAATAAATAAATCAAACCAGTAAATTTAAAAGCTTCTAATAATTGAACCAAACCTTTGGGAATGAACCAAATCAGTTAAAGAAAATTAAGGAAGAGAGAGAAAACCAGCAAAAAAAACACTTCCTTCTCTCATCTCCATGCCAACAGCCCCTTCCCCTCTCTATCCCTTCTTCCGGCCAAATGGCCATTGTTGCCGGTGGGTAAAGGGTCTAAACTCAAGAGCGCGACGAGACGAACACGCTTGTGGCCACATTTCGCGCGATAGAGGCCTGGATCGGAAGATATAGCGAGTAATGTCCGGTACTGTCGCAACGTCGACTTTCTGCGAGTTCATGTCGTTTCTAGGGACTCCTTGTGTTGAGAATGACTGCAAACGATTCCCCATTTCCTTGCGATTATTTTTCCTCCATAAACTCCGGCAATTAGCTCTTACTCGCAGATACACCATAAACGGCGGCGAGGAAGAGCCTGTTGATGCGATTCTGACTGAAGGGCTTCTCCTCTTTGCAAATTCATGACGGATATGGACTCTAAGGAGAAAATTCGAGTGACCTGGTGGCCATTTCTATCGAAACCAATTTTCCAACCATCGTGCACGACAGTCCGGTAACGCTCCGGCAAGGACCCAAGAGACAGAATCTTCCTCTCTTTGCCATGATCAAGAATCCTCAATTTGATTTTTGATCTGTAAGCCCTAAGTTCCTACACTTTATTTTCTTGTAAAAATTCAATTAGAATTGGTTAATTCAAGTTAGTTAAGAATTAGAACTTAGTAAGTTAAATTAGAAAAGATAAAGCATGTTTAAGCAATTCGGATTCAAAGTTCTTAATGAAAAATAGAGAATTAGAAAAGATAAAGCATGTTTAAGCAATTCGGATTCAAAGTTCTTAATGAAAAATAGAGATTTTTATTTAAAAATATGGTTTACAAGCTTGTTAAGTAGAAAGCAGAAATTCTTAAAATTTAAAGTTATTATCTATTTAACAGAAGAAATTATATAGAGTTAACTTATCGCACTTAATTCAAGAAATTAGTTAATTTAAAAGCAATTACAAGATTATGGAATGTGAATACTAATTAACTCAATAGATTTATTAAGTCAATCTAGCTAAACTCTAATTTAGTTTAGTTTAATCTAACCAAATTAGATGATATAGACTGCCATGTTAACTAGTTGAACTTTAATGACATAATTTACTAATGTATAAGTGCATTACACGTCGACTCGGATGTCAATATCGAATAAATCAAGAAATGAATTATATATGTAAACTGTGGCGAATTGGGGCATTGATGGTGAAGTGCATATTATGATTAAAGTCTATGGGTGTGAATTGATAAGTGATATATAAATATATACACTTAAATTTACAAGTACACACACACACAGACATGGCCAAATTACGGTTCCTAGAACCGGAACCGGTTCGAACCGGAACTAGTGGGAACCAAAACCAGTCCGAACTGGAGGCCAACGGTTTGGTTCCGGTTCCACCATTTTTGGAACCGTGAACTGGCGGTTTCAAGAACCGGCCGGAATCGGATGAAACCGCCAGTTTTCGGGAGGTTAGAACCGTCGGTCCGAACCAATATTTGAATTATATTTCTAATGGCTATAACCGACGGTTCCAGCAGGCATCAGCTTTTTTTTAAAATATTTTTTGTGAAATCCCCAAATTACCCCTCCTAATAATTATAAACGGCTAGTTTCAAGGGTATTTGTGGAAAAATAATTTTTGGGATTTATTATAAATACCTCATTCTATTCACAATCTCCTCACACAAAATTATCTGTACTCTCTCTACTCTCTCTATATTATTCTTCTCTACTCTACAATCTCTCTAATTTTCATTCACAAATTATTGTCCAAAATATTGCAAGATAATTTCTTCAAAGTCAAAGTCAAATCTCTAAATTATGTCAAATAATGTGTGAATTAATTTCTTCAAATTTCAATCTCTAATTATTCTCTCTAATTTTTTTATTCAATTTTTCAAATTACATATTATTTTCATATAATGGCAAGTAGTGGAAACTCAAGTTCCGCTAAGGGCAAGGGAAAGATTGGAGAAACACAATATTCATCTATCCCTACAAATGACATCTTTGATTTCACTCTCGACCAATATAATCTTCAGGGATATCGAATGAAAATTTGGAAATTCCAACTCAAGAATATCAATTTAATGATGAGCAATTACAACAAGAGGAAGAGGAAGAGGAAGAGCAAGGTACACAACTTTTTCGAAGAGCAAGACAAAGTTCCGATATATTCGCCATTCATTTCACGAAGAAATTCAAAGGTGACAAAATGTTTGATGTAATTTGCAATTATTGATTATTGTGAAAATCTTATAAATTTAAAACAATCGGGCGGTTTATAGATCAATTTCGAAGCATTTGGGGACAAAACATCCAACAAAAATAGAGTGATCGGTGGTCAAATACAAATTTCGCATCTTCTAACATTTCTTTATTTCAATATTCTAAAAAATAACAAAAAGAAGAATTAGCAAAAATAATTTCTATGGAACATTTATCTTTTAATTTTAGCGAAAAAGTAGGTTTTAATCAATATTGTTAAAAAGCTTTAAATCCTTCTGCTAAAAGAGTGCCAAGAAATACTATAAAACGAACTATTATTTCTTTAGAGTTAGAACTTTTATTTTCTGAAATGAAACTTCGTGTTTCAATTTGTTGTGATATTTGAAGTGATCATTGGCGAATGCGTTCTTATATGAGCATTACATGTCATTGAATTGATGATGATTGAAAAATTCAAAAAAGAATTATTACATTTCGTGCTTTTGATGATAAACATACTGCAAACAACATTTATAGAATAATTGTTTCAATTTTGGAGGAATATAAGTTGACAAAAAATTTTTTTTCAATTTCAATTTCATTTGATAATG